AAACAAAAGTTTAAACTTTATAACACAACTTTTGCATTTGAAAAAACTACCTCCATAATTTGTATAAAAAAGTTTAAAAATCCAGCCATTTTGCTTTTAATAAGTGTTAATAACTGTGCTTAAACTCAGTTTCTTAAGAATAGTATCTAGTTTATTGTGTAATAATGTCAAATCTATCGATACTAAAACGTCTGAGATATAGCAAGTTTAAGTAAAAATTTCGCAAAAATTGTCCGCTGTGAAAATAAGGTTTTTTGGATTTTTCGACATGAAGGCATCAGTAAAAACTTAGTTAAAATTAACTGTAAATGTATTTATGTGTAAGCTATCGATTACAATTGGTTTCAACCGGTTACTTCGACCCAAACACCTCTCGTGATTTTTTGGGCATAATCCGCACGCCTAATATCGTCTGTACGACAAGACAAAACGCGATGTAATATTAGGCCGAGATGTATATTTCATTGAAAATTGAGTCGAAAGAGGATATTAACGCCGAAGAGGAGATTTTGAATAACAGCGCTGAAGAGGTAGTGAATGTTGTGCCCTCTGAAGAGGTAGAAAAGGTTGTGACAGCAGATTTATGCAAGTCTGAGTATGAAAGACCGACAAACAATAATACAGACTACAAAACTCCAGAAGCGGGTTCTGACTATGCTGAGTCACCAACTGCGAAATTCAGGCCAGGGCGACCAAAAATCTTACGAAAAGGTGTGAAGGGCATACCGAAAAAGCAGAAGCAAGTCGTGACTTTGTTACAGCAAACGAATGTTCAGATACCAATGCCAGTAAACGAAGCTATGTCAAACAACGAGGCAGATGAATGGAAATCTGCGATGCAAGAGGAGTACATGGCGCTGGTTTGTAATGATACGTGGGACGTAGTTAGCCTGCCAACAGACCAGAAAGCAATAGGTTGCAAATGGGTGTTTTCGCTGAAGAAAAACGCGTGGTGTGATTGAACATTTTAAGGCGCGGTTGGTCGGCAAGGGCTGCAATCAGAAGTTTGGAATTCCAACTACGCTGAGACATACTCGCCTGTCGTACGTCATGCAACCATCAGGATGATACTGGCATTAGCAGCAGAGTATCAACTTAATGTCCACCAATTAGATGTATCTACCGCTTATCTGAATGGAGACTTGCATGAAGATTTTTATATGTCCCAACCGCAAAACTTTGACAACGGATCAGGCAGAGTACTTAAACTAAAAAAAAAATCACTCTATGGCCTTAAACAGTCGGGACGTATATGGAATACTAAATTGATAGTGTGCTTAAGGAAATGGGTTACAGAGCATGTGAAAGTGAACTGTGCTTGTACAGTAGGGAATCCAAAATTACTACAAATGTCATAGCAGTTTATGTCGACGACCTTCTGATAGCTTGTTCGAATCTTGGTGAGTTTAATGAAACTAAACAAGCTATTGCAAATGTTTTCCAGATAGTCGATAAAGGTCCAGTTCATAATTTTTTGAGAATTGAGATCGAGCGAGAAGGCGAAACCGGCACGATACTTCTAGGGCAGAAGCAGTATATAATTAACGCTTTGAAAGAGTTTGGTAAGAGTGAATGCCGGTCGGCCGCTACACCTTTAGAAGTAAACTAGTGAACCCGCGTGGCGTTAAGACGCCAAAATTGAGTTTAACATTTTAAACAGATGGCAACACTATTCACAAACCTTAATAAATATTGCAAATGTTTCAAGTAAATTCGTCCATCCCTTTTTGAACGAAGAGAGGTCTCACATGGCGACGGTTTTTCATTTCCTCAAAATTCAAACCACCGGGCACCGCTAAAAAAGGTCGTAACTTCAAAAAATAAAACCTTAATGCACATTTAGAATGACGGTGCTAATCTGATGACCTTCACATTAAAGATCTGATGACTATAACAAAAAATTATTTATTTATAAAAATTAACTCAAACTAATTTTTTTCGGTATATTATGGGTTTATTCGAAAGAACATATGTTCCCATTAGTTATGGAACCCGATTTCATCATGTGACTATCTTCGCAGTAGCGTATCCTGTTAACCCAGTTCTCCAAGACCTTGTTGATGGTTTCTGGCTCTATCATACGCCTTAAAGGCCTGAATCGTTAATGCATTGTTCTTATTCTATCGGTCCTTTGCGGCATGGCACAAAAAGGTCTAAGGGCGTGAAATCGCGACTCCAAGGGGGCTAGTTGACTTCATCGAGACAGCTGATAACACAATTACCGAACTTTATCGCTCAAAATAAAAATCGAATAGATGGCAACCCTAACAGAAATATTTTCAAACTAAAGTTTTATTAAAACTCTTTCTTTTGCCACTCATATTTTAATATTTCCTTCTGCGAAGCATTTTCAAACTGAAATCTTTTAAAGCTCTTACGTCTGATACTTTGATACATAATTCAATTACCTGAAAAATTAAATTGAATTTGGCAGCTCCTAAACAGTTCAGATATAAAACCTTCTCAAACCCATGAACGATTAAATCACCTCTTTTAGTATTTATTTCACTTAATAATTCATTTAAATTTAGAATTTTCAACAGCTGGCAACTCTCTTCAAACCATCAAACAAAATTTTGATGTTTAAACTGAAGATTTCTTAGCACTCATTGGTTTAACACCCATATTTTAATACTGCATATAACTAAATTCGGCTTTTAAAGCAGGTGGCAGCCCTTTTCAAAACAATTTCCTGTGGGGGAACATTTTGTAAATTACCAATGTAATTTCCCTATTTAAAATTTAATTTGATTTCTTAAACGGAGGCAACACTCTCACAGTTAACTTAAGAAGCAAAGCTTTTAATAACCAATTTGACTGATACCTATGGCAACTCTTTTCAAAAAGTAAAACCTCATTGCACATCTGCAACCAAGCCTTTTAATTTGACACCTCATTTTTGAAAATCGAGCGAAGGATGGGGATATGATTGTATTGATCTATAAATAAATAACCTCTCTAACAATCTGTTCGACGTTCACCAAGTAGCGTTCAAGGAAGGCCTAGGCACAATGGACGCCTTACTCATTTTTGAGCACTTTGCCTCTTCGGCCCTGTCCACCAAAAACCATATTTCCGTCTTGAGCATTGACTTCGAAAAGGCCTACGATAGAATTGGCCCACATGTCGTCCTCCAGCAGCTGGCTCGTTGGAAAGTTCGCAACAAAATCTATAAATTTGTTAAAGATTTTTTAATTAATCGGCGCTTTGCCGTCAAAGTAAATGATGGGGCACCGAAATTGCGCATATGGAAACTGTTCATTTAGACATTATTTCGGTTTCAACCGAAACTGTGCATGTATGCTTTATTTCGGTTTTTACCATATGCATTATTTCGGTTTTAAACCGAACCTGTGCATGTATGCATTACTTCGTTTTTTTTTTCATATGCATTATTTCGCTTTTAAAACGAAAGTATGCATA